TCAAACGCCAATGAACCAATTCATTCATTCCACACATTGTCCATTAGCAGCCCCGGTCTAGGAGTGGGACAGAGAGCTCAGTGTCCACCTGGGGGGAGCCTTCGGGTGGGCAGGTGTCCCAGGGAGCCCCCACCGTGTTCCTGCAACAGCAGGGCCATGTGCATCCCATTTCCGGCCTCAGGTGTCCCCTCCAATTCACCTTTTATGCCCCGACCTCTGTCTCAGCACCGGCTTTTCAGGCACGTCACCCCAGCCTCAGACTGTCACTCTCTGAGCCCTGCCATTTCACCCTCAGCATTGCTGTGGCTTATCACCTGCCAGCTCTTCCTGCACCAACATAACGTTTGTAGATGATTTTGAAATTAGAACTTGAGGAAAGCTGCCCTTTGCCCCCTTCCTGAACGAGTGTCTGTCCAATATCTGGGCAACATGGCTTTCCTCACTCCCTGGACGGGTGAGGTGGTTACAGGGCTGGGCTGTGGGGGACTGAGTGAGCCTCTCTGCCCAGAAATGCACCGGACGCAGACCAGGTTTGAGGACGCCTTCACCCTCAAGGTGTTCATCTTCCAGTTCGTCAACTTCTATTCCTCGCCCATCTACATCGGCTTCTTCAAGGGCAGGTCAGCACGGCTTCCCCTGGCCGCACCTCACCCTGAGCCCTGCTCTTGTGCCAAACCATGTGGCCCCAGAGGCTCAGGGAGGGTGGGGATGACAGTCCAGGGTGGGGACAACAGCTGTCCTGGCTCAGGGCCTCAGAGCAAAGCTGGGCTCCAGTCCACCCTGAGGTTCCTGCAGGTCCGGTGTGTGCAGCAAGGGAGATAGTGGGGGGAGAGGGAGGGGCAGCTGATGGCACCTCCTCACTTGCAGCCTCAGGACCTCCATTTCCTCTAGGTTTGTGGGGTACCCGGGCAGCTACCACACCTTGTTTGGGGTTCGCAACGAGGAGGTAAGTGTGTAGGGACTGACACTCACAGGTCCTACCCGCTAACCTCCATCAGAATGTTAATTTGCAGGGATTCTTTCTGCCCGTCCCCCCACCCCCACAGTCACAACTGCCCCAGGACCCCCACAGCAGGCTCTTCATAGCATTATCAGACCCCCACCTGGAGCAGCACCCACACAACACAATCGTGTCCTCATGTGTCACCCTTTCCCCACGCTGACCTGACTTGTGAATCAAGTCAGAGTGGGGAAAGGGTGACACTTCCACTGCCCAGAGCTCCGCTGGGAACATAGAGGCTGGTGACTCTCCCAGGGCTCGGGGCCCACTGTGGGCACCGGGACTTGCCCTGCCCCACCCTCATAGACACTGACGAAAGCCCCTTGAGATCCCCAGGCATCTGGCTCCTCACTGGCTGAGGGCACAGCCTGGGTGGAGCTGGAACAGTGCACAGGCGGTCTCTGGGCCAGGGCGGCGGGGCTCCAACTGCTCCGCCGGGTGCCTCACCTGGAAGACCCTCTCCTCTCTGGCCGGAAGGGCTCCCTCATTCCCATGGGTCTGGTCTGTGACCCAACCCCACTGCCTGCAAAGTGGCCAACCCCGAGGAACAGTCTAGCTTCACATGAGAGGGAGGGGCTTTCCAGGGACTGGGCAGCTGGGACCCCAACTCAGGGGGCTTTTGGTTACCAGTGGGAAAAGTTCCCAACGCACACTGGCTTAACGAAGCCAGAGTTCCTTCCCATCGGCTCCTATAATGAAGCCGGTCAGGCCCTGTGGGCTCAGGTGGGGCTGGGCGCAGGCGTCTGAACAATGCTGCCCTAGTTCCCCAGCACTGGCCTTGTGCTCGGTCAGGTTCTCCCAACCCCTGGGAGGCCAACATCCCAACAGCACAGGCCGATGCCCTCTTGCTTGCGACCCCTGTGCAACGTATGCTGTCTCAGGAGCACCCCCTAAAAGCCCCCGTGCACCTCTCACTGGCTGGAATTGCTGAGGGACCTACATAGTGGGTCCTCCCTGGAGCCACAGGGCTGCATCAGCCTCACGCCATGTGGGTCTCCAAAGAAAATCTGAGTGCCCTGCAGCAGTGGCCCTGGTCATTCCCACGCACCGTCCACCAGGTGGACCTTGGGGAGACAGCGGGGGAGGCGGAAAAAAAGGGGAGAGGGAGATGGCAAGGGCCACCTTTCAGGGTTAGAGGAGGTTGGGTGGGGAGGAGACCCCCGCCCCTGCACTAACCTGGAGCTTGGCTATGCAGTGTGCGGCAGGAGGCTGTCTCATCGAGCTGGCTCAGGAGCTCCTGGTCATCATGGTGGGCAAGCAAATCATCAATAATGTGCAGGAGATTCTCGTCCCGTGAGTTCCCCACTTGCCCTGGGTAGCATCCAGGGACCCTGGGACTGGGAGTGTCTGGGGCAGTAGCCCCAGCCCAGTCCCAACCTGGAAAAGAGGTGGAGGGAAGCCAGGTGGGCCCCTCCTGGACCTGGCTGTCTCACCTGCAGGGGAGGGGAGGGTCTGCCCTGCCATCTGCCCCATGGGCTCTGTGACACCGGCAACCTGTGGTTGCTGTGTCAGCATATTGAGTTCTTTTGTCCTGGCCAGCTTCGTTGAGGGAGGAGGCCCATCCTTTCTGCAGCACCCCCAGCCAAGGCAGCACCAGAGGGGGGTCCAGGCGAGGCGCCCAGCCTCAGGTTCCCTGCCACTGAGGTCCTTTCTCCCCAGTGCCACCCCCACTGGCACCACTGAGCTTCCCATCCAAGCAACTGGATCCCCTCCCAGGCAAGAGCCCTTGCAATCACTGCCCAAGGCTGGGCCAACCTGGACATCTTGCCATCTCTCCCGCACACCCGATCTCTCACAGACAGTGTGGACTCCCCTGGGCACCTCGAACTGTAGCTGTGGGACCTTAGCCAGCCCATGCCTCTCTTTGGGTGCAGTCAGTGCTGTACAGCTAAATTCCAGGAGATCATGTGTTTGGGGTGTAGTTGGTGCCTGGAGGGGCTGGATGCGTGCTGGACAACGCCACATACACCTATTCCCCTACATATGACAAAATAACAAGCACACATGTCCCCATTGACACAGCGATGTCCTCATCTGCTCACTTCCACCTGGAGATGTCTCTTGGCACCTCTTTGCATGTCCCAGGAGGAACCCATCCCCCCAAAGCTTTCATGAACAATGGGCACTGCAGGGGAACTGGGGGAGGGGCTACCCCCAGAAGGAGGCAGATGTGCTTGAGGGTTCTACAAGGCCTGGCCAGCCTGCTGTGCCGGTCCCAGGGTCCAGACCCTCTCCCTGCTGCCTTCAAACTGCAGAACAACCAGCTGGAGGAGCAAAAGCTATTTTCCTGGGTGTTTCCACCTCCAGGAAGCTCACGGGTTGGTGGCAGAAGTTCCGGCTTCGCTCCAAGAAGAGGAAGGTGGGGGCTTCAGCTGCTGCCAGCCAGACGCCCTGGGAGGCAGACTATGAGCTCCTGCCCTGTGAGGGCCTATTTGATGAGTACCTCGAAATGGGTAGGTGCCCCTGGGGGCCTCCAGCCTCAACATTCCTCTGTCTCCCTTGAAACATGATGTGGGTGGGGACAGAGGGTCCCTAGTGGAGCCAAGCCTACAAAGGATCCCAAAAGGACTTGGGATCGCAGTGGGGAGTGCCCCAGAAAGGCAGGCTAGAGATGGGAAGGGACAGCGCCCTGGGCACAGAGGTTGCAAAGAGGACTGGGGGCAGTTGATGGCGCTCTCCTAGAGTGGCCTTAATCCCCCACCCCAGTAGGCATCTGCTAGAGCCTCCTGTAGGAGCTAGGAAGGAAGCTGGGTGCTCAGGAGACCAGGCACGAGGGGTGGGACAACTGCCCCTGAGAGTAAGGCTGCACCTGGGAAGCGACCGGCCTCAGGTCCCCTGACCAATGGAGTCCCATATGGGAGTTGATTCCAGAAAATTTCTTGATGCCCACACTTTGCCAGACCCTCAACTGTGCCCTCTCCAGGTGGTGGCCCGTGCCTGTACTCATTTCCTGCACGGGATGGTGCTCTTTTGGGGGACAGGATGTTTGTCCCAGCAGCCCAAGGTCTTACTCTGAGATCATGGCACACTTCAATGGAAAGTGTTGCATCTGAGTCAAACACATCACTGAGCTCCCTGGCAGCCACAGCAAAAGGGGCGGTAGTAGTTGCATCGGTCCCTGGACAAGAGGGAGCAGACAGTTCACGTGCATTTTCATGATAATGTGTGAGTGGGGTTGACCTTGTGTGGCCCTACGCCACTGGACAGCAGGCGATGGGACCAAGGCTCTTAGTATTTTACGGAGGAGCCAGCTGCTCCGAGAGGGGTAAATGGAGAAGGCCGGCCTAAAATCTACTCCCTTTTCTGCCAGAAGCCCACAGGGGAGGAGAGAGAATCCCAGACCTCAGGGAGCCCCGGGAGACCCATGCCCCTCGTGCAGCTCTGTGGAGCAGTTAGGGGCAGTCAGGGAGGCTTCCTGGGAGCAGGGGCCCTGGTGCTAAGCCTAGGAAATGAATCAGAGCAGAAGCTGGCGGGCGGGGATAGAGCCTGCGGTGGAACCTGCGCCCACACCTGCGCCCACAGTGCTGCAGTTTGGCTTCGTCACCATCTTCGTGGCTGCCTGTCCGCTGGCGCCGCTCTTCGCGCTGCTCAACAACTGGGTGGAGATCCGCCTGGACGCGCGCAAGTTCGTGTGCGAGCGCCGGCGCCCAGTGGCCGAGCGCGCGCAGGATGTGGGCATCTGGTTCCCCATCCTGGCTGGCATCACGCACCTGGCGGTCATCAGCAACGTGAGTGCTGGGTGGGGGGAGGTCAGGGAGGTTGTGAGGGGCGGGGCTCCCCGGGGAGGGTGGGATCGGTCCACGCTGACCGCCCGGCGCCCAGGCCTTGCTGCTGGCCTTCTCCTCC